GTCCACGCTGTCATGGAAAAGTATTTGTTCAGAGAAAAGATGCTCGCTTCTTGCTTTATGGCACCGGACCCCTTGACCGAAGCGAATAACCTCCATGATCCCAACTTGGAACACGTGTTGCAGGACAAAGAGAGGTTGTATCAGTACTTGTTCGGAGACTCCGTAAGAGGAAGCCATGCATATCAATCCACTGCGGGGGCTTCAGGTGAGAACGAGTCTGAGCGGAGGAAGAGGGAGAAGGTAAGGAGAGAGAACAAAATGCCATGGATGGATGAGTACTGGGGAGTCCTTCAGCCAGAACCAATATACTCGAGGACTCAAAGGTGGTACGTCATTGATGACTTCAAGGAGGGTGAGGAGATTTGCTGCGATTACTGTTTGGTCTGCAATCCCATAGACTCCGATCTGAAAGACGATTGCTATGCGGAATGCATCAACGGAGCAGCAAATAGATGCCGTGGGATGTCCGCAGAAGACTACGTCCAGAAGCGATTCCATGCATGTGCTCGATTGCTTTACAACTTCGGCATGGGGCAAACGGTATCTTCTCCCACCGCCATGATCTCCGAGATGAACCCGCACATAGACTTGATGAAGTTCTTACACGAAGCGATGGTCATCTTTAACGGGAACCCAGGTTTTCAGAAGGAGATCTCGTTCTTCGGGGGGATCAGGTTGTCATCAACAATGACGGAGAACTTCTTCAAAACGAGGAGAGGACCCAGCATCCATGTGGAAAAGCAGATAGTCGGCAACGCCAAGTACTACCAGGGATCCTATGACCTTGGAAACGTGTGCTACACCAAATACCTCAAGACCATATTGGAGCCCGATGTATTCCGTTCGATGTTCGGAGATGATCCCTCGGAGGAACGGGTAGGTGATACGGTGGAAGCGCTGCTGGGCATGTTAGAAATTGCTCAACTCTTCAAACACCTGTTCTTGGGATGGGGTGACATTGAGGCTTTGAGGACGGGATTAGAAGAATCCATCAAGCGCGTCACTGCATCGCTGTACGACAGGACAACGTATGAGAACCGAAAGCGATCGATGATCAGAACATTGGATCCGCACTCTGATGAGGCGGCAAACGTGGCACTGATTCTCGTTCGCATGAGGACCATGCCGCCTCCTGAATTCGACATCGACCACTTCTTCGAAATTGGGAAAGAACCAGAACAGGGAGCAGAAACTACTGACCAACCCGAGGCCGAAGGTGTCGATATGGAGACTGAATGTGAACAGGAGAAGGAGGAGCAAGACGTTGACATGTCCGATCCGAAGACATCAATACTGCAAGCCATCGACGAATTCGAGAAGAAGATCGGGCAAGCAGAATTCTGCATCCACTGCATGAAGTCGGGACACACCACTCTCAATTGCAAGAAGATCCCTTCGTCTTCACCCACAGTCACCTCAGTGTTGAGCGATTGGAAGAAGAGAGTGAAGGGAGAGGTTGCGCCCGACGATGTACCATCCGGACATCCAACCGATGAGCCTAAGAAGAAGAAGCAGAGAGCATCGCCTACTCCAGATAGGAAGGTCGACAGCGAGTTTAGGCGGAAAGAAATGTTGAAAGCAAGAGTCGTGACAATGTTTGACCATGACGGGTTCACCTTGATTGAAAGTGCCGATGGAGTCGAAGGAGGGACACATTCCTACAATGGGCGGAAGCTTGCGGAAGTAGGCCCTAGGGATATGAGGGTGGTGTACGAATTTGTTGAGAGGGCATTTGTGCACTCCAGTTCCCTCAAACCAAAGGCATGTCATCAATTCTACCCCCTACCGACACGGAGGGAGAAAGGATACAAGCCGATCGACCCCATGACGATGATCGGGAAAGTTGAGCTAGTACCGATCAACGGAGTCACTTTCGCTGCACAGAACTCCGACTACGGCAACCTCAAGTATCCGACTCCAGACTGTCGAGTACCTGAATACAGCCAAGCGAGTCAGGCCCTGAGTCGCCGATTGGGAGCGAAGTTGAGACATCGAATTGGACGCCAGTTCAGGACAGGAGGAAGACTCACACCAATCAAATGCGATGAAGGTGCATGGGTGTCATGGGAAGACCTGTTGGGTGATAACGCAGTTTGGGAAGACGGTTATCACTATGGCAACATTGACATAGTGACCAAGAAGGCGCGTTTGGAGAAGTACCTCGACCAGAACTATGAGTGTTTCCGCATAACCAAGAGGATCAGATTCCAAATGTTGGCGGTCCGCGTTCACCCTGATGAACTCAATGATCCTGATGACCCGATGGAGAAGGAATGGATTGACGAGCTCAAGGGCATGGGAATCTCCAAAGGAAGACTCCACAATAGCGATGGATGGTGTTTTCCCGTGGCTGTAAGAGCAACCTCAGCACACTCGTCGGACGGTGGAGGTTATGACGTTACCATCAACATCGACCACATTGGATCGAGAATGACCAACGACATGGCCTTATCCATGGTGACTGCATTTCACGCTACCAATCTTGGAGCGCTGACTTCAATCATGCGACGGGGGCTAGTGCCAGGAGGTCTCGGTGCATCGGGAAGGGATTCTATCCACTTCACATGTTTTCCGCCATGGGCCTGGGAGCAGGGCTACAAGGGAAAACCTTGGCTAGGTCGTAAGGTCGCATTGAGTGATCGCCCAGTGGTTCTCTACATTCCGGTGTCGAAGCTGCAGGAGTACGGGCTTCTCATCTCAGCGACTGGATCTCTATTGGTTGAGGACGTCGTTCCCTTCGATGAGGTTAAAGGGGCATGGTTGCAATGCGACAATGCAGAACCCGGACAGCCTGAGGAGATCGAATGGATCAGGTTACTCAATAGAGAACCCGACCCTGGAAGCTACCTTGTTCTGGAGTCCAAATACGGAAACCCGATCATGACCCCACGCTATCAAAAGCTTGAGAGCTTAGCGATCGAGGTCCAGGATGATACCTACTCCGAGGACGACGCCAAAATCACAAAGCTGCTGGGCATGGTCGAGGAGAGTGGTGTCTACCCAGAGTACGATAGCACTGAATGGCAGGAAATCTTCGAGGAGATCGTGTACCGCCGAGCAATGAAAGACTATGACTCAAGACCGTGTCCCAACTGTCTTGGCGAAGTCGATGTGCGATTGACGATATGTCCGCACTGCGTAGCGGTTTTGATCGCGAATGGGAAGCTCACGCATGTGGTACCCAAGGAGACAAGGGACCGCAATCAACGATCACCTCCGAGAGACGTGCCAGCCAGTTCTTCCGGTGAAGCAACTTCTTCTGCAGGTGCAAACATCGATGAAGTCATCAAGAATGCACGCAAGACAGCCGAAGAAGTCATTGACGTCGAGGAGTCCGAAGGAGAGGAAGACGAGGAAGTTCCTATCATTTTGAAGGAACGACCGGACGAAGCCGAAGGCGAACCCGAATATCGGGAGGTCCCTCAAGATGGATACGGGAATGAACTTCCACAGCCTTTCCCCTTCGCAATTGACGAATTGCCGCAAGAAGCTGCGATCCCCATCGACCACAACTTTGCAGTCACACAGCAATTTGATCTGAGGTTGATGAAGTTGATCAAGAGCTTGGCCAACGCAACGTTCGACATCAATTGCTTTGAGAGTCGTGAAGACGTACTGCGAAAGTTCGACGATGGACAGCGGCATGATACTCCATTCAATAGATGGCCATTAGTACCGAATGATCCGGATACCGGGTTTCCGAGACGCCTTCAGAGAGCCGAAGTCGTAGGCGTGAGCAAATGGACCAACGACACGTATGCAACAGAAGCGTGGCAGATCTATGAGTTCCATGCCCACGTTATTCACCCGATGATGATCACTGCAATCCGCTGCGGGCTTAGCCACAAGTACCTCAAAGAGGTCGGAAGCACTCGGCGTAACATGAGTGATCCGAAGGCTCAAAGATCTGAGACCCAGGAAGAGATCATCGAGAAACTGGCATTCATCTCAAATTTCATCAGACGCTTGATTAGGAAGACTTTCGGAGCGAGCCGATATAGTTACTACCAGAAACCAGACGATGAAGGTGCCGCTCCATACAAATTCATCGACATTAGCCCCGCCATCAAGTCGGAGCGGAAGAATGTCACGAAGGAGATCCTCGTTGCATGCCGCTACTACGGCATAGAGGTATCCGATACTCAAACACAGAAGTTGAAGTCCTTCGAGGAGCAGATCCGGAGGGGAAACCCAAGGAACGTTGAGCTCATCAAGGACTACATTGGCTTTGTCGGAGCTGACTACATGCGACAACTCACGAATGGTTGAGCATCGGGGTCATACCGACATACTACTTCCGGTACTTCAAGTACTGAGGGATCTTGGGTAATTCATGATGACCATTTTGGCATCATGGGAGTGAAATAGGATTGTGTTTCACACCGTTGGTAATCGCAGGATACCATAGGTAGATGCACGTTTTCCGTTTGTAGCTCCGTTACCTGTTTGATCCAACTTTCAAGCGAATGCAAGATCGTTTGCTAATTCAGATCAATAGGACATACTGGTTGACCTCCAATGCACTTTTGAGAACGTGATTCGTTCTCCGGTTTTTACATCCACTCAGCTCCCTTCCCCGTCGAAGCACGGATGTGGGGGGTGTCAATAGGGATGAGGTCTCAGTATAGTCGCTATACAGGTACATGCCATATACTTTTGGCTCAAGTGCCCAACCAGGTAAAAAGGAGCTTTTGCGCGCGAGCTTCATGTTAAACTAAGGGCTAGAACGGGGCCAGGGGCACGCTTTTCATCCGTTCGCAACGATGACGACGACTACTACTATTACTATTACTAGTACTAGTACCACTACCACCGCTACCACCACCGCTACCACTGCCACTACCACTACCACTGCCACTACCACTACCAGTGCTACCACCATTAGGATCAGTACTTTCTTCACGATTCACACAGTCTTTCTCAGCGCAGCTATGCTCCTAGAAAATACATAAAGGCTGGCGGCTGGTCGGTTTTTGGCTGACGTGTCAGTTTTTTGCCAGGGCTGGTGAGCCCGGGGCTTAGAGTTAGTTGCAGAGGCTGGATCCAGCCTTCGACTACATGCTTGGAATTGCTTGCATTTTGTCACAGGAATTGACATACTCCGAAGGAATCAACTTTATGAATAGAACTACAGAACATGCGGTTGTTCGATGTTGTTCGCAGGGATAAACACAAGTGAAGATCTTTAAAAATAACATCTTCTGGGCTGGCCGCCGTGGACAGCTGTGCTGTGTAGATTCGGAGGCGCAGTTACTCCGGGCTTTAAATCCGGGGTTGCGCAAGGTGTGCGCTAGGCTTCTGTGCCAAAGGGTTTTGCGGGGGTTGCTGGTGCGATGCAAGTAGCAGTTGCAGTAGACTTCCCAAAACCAAAAACCAACAAAAACAACCCGGCGGCCCGAAGTCGTGTTCTTTTTTCCTCATTTGTCCATGGCACGAATGTCGTTAAACATGTTGTTTTCTGCAGCGGTGGAAATGGAAGGGCAAATGAAACCTTAATTCCAAGGTGTGGAGTTGAAATTTGGTGATTCTTTGCAGTGAGGTGTCCGTTTTGCACAACGTCAACGACAAAGAATCTTCAAGGGCATACTTAGCTTTGCAACATACTGACAATTGCCAGAAAAGAACAGCCTGTTTAGACTAGGAAGAGCTTCTTGAGGAGATAGGAAGATGGTTGTCTATTCGGTTCTCAAAGATATCTATCCAACAAATTCAATCAATGTAATATAGTGTCATACAATAGGGAACAATGCAAGGAGCCAACTTATAATAAGATATGATTTAGAACCAGCTGGAGCAATAGAAAGTTTGTTGAGACTAAGAAGTACTCACTAAGGAAAGAGCATTGAGGGGAGAGGAAGAGACAACCTTCAACGGCCTATATGCGTTTAATAGATTGCAACAGCAATAAAGAACTGATTAAAAGGAAGAGCTAACTAACAACCGTACAACAAACAAACCAACCAACTTTGTGTAGGAAAATTGTCAATTGAAGGGCTCTTTATGTTTACTATGGCAAAGGCAAGTCCAAATAACACCAACTCAATTGCTGTTTGAGTTTGGCTGGTTGTCCAAAACAAAACAAACACGATGACAAGAAACCAAAAGATGTATTTTGTGCATGGATAGACGGATAGAACCCAATCAATCCTTTTGCATGTGGTCTAGCTCAGTACCTTTCTCTAGTACCATAAGGGTTTCTTTTTGAGGATCTTAGTGTTCTTAATCATAACAGTGTTTAAGACAAATAGAACAGCACAGCACAGAACGACTTGACAAGAACACGAAGTCCTTATTTTTAATCCACATGTGAAAGTATAGCAAAGAAAAGTTGAGGTACAAACATATTACAGGCTACTGGAGCACTAGAAAAGCGTATCGAGAGTGGGAAGAACTTGTAGGGAAGAGTGCTGAGGGAAAAGGAATAGTCAGATAAGTGAACACCTGATTTTGTGAATGAAAGAGCTGAAGAAGATGAACAAGAGCTCACCAATAGTCGACAAACAAACAAGCCAAGAAGGGACGAGCCACTGCTTAAGCAATGGCCACAAAGAGCAAACAACTACAAGACAACCAACCATAAGCCCACCAAAACAAAATAGCATGAGGGAATGGATAGATCTTGTTTGCATCGTACTCATAGGTCTGTTTCTTTTGTGCGTTGTTGGCTTTTGTTTGTTTTTATTCTTATTGTTTTCTATTGCTTCTTTAGGTTGCTTTGTTTCTTTGCTTGTTTCCTTCTTGCTGTTTGTCGAATTTCTGCAATGCAAAAAGCAGTGAAGAAATCAAGGAAGAACGCCGAGCGCTAAATCTCCAAAAATTGCCAACCTAAAAGAACAAATCCAAAACAAAGCTGAAGTTTAAAAGTCAGCATTGTGCACCGCAACATACCGCAACACTTCGCGAAACCACTGCAGATCGCATATCGAAATATGACAGTCCTATCGTCAATGCGTACTACTTACAATGCATTTCTGACAGTTTCATTACCTCGCTGTGTACGGGCAGTTTCTGCGTTGTAGATGCGGGTTGTGGTGTGCTGATAGGTGCGGGGTGTGTAGACACTACAATTCATCCACATCACCACATGACAAATCACCACATTTCACCACAGCACAGAGCATCACACTACACCTCATGGTTTCGGAAATCATTCGGCTCTACTTGGAAATCATTCGGTTTTTTTTCAGTGTTCTGAGGAGTGGAGACTTGGACAACCTTTTTGCCTCATATGCTAGGGAGATTGGCAGCAAAGCGAGGTGAGCGAGGTGATGACTTTCCAAGTCTGCCTAGCCAGCAAACCTCAGCGAAGTCACTTGCTGGGGCGAATGCATAGCATTGAACGGCGGGCAAAAACAGAGTTTGAGCTGCACTTGTTCCTAGTAGCTTCTTGTTACTACTAGTAAGGCACTTGTTACTAGTAGCGATGCACTTGTTCCTAGTAGCTTCTATGTTCTTGGAACCGATGCAAAAACAACGCAGCAATCATTGCTTGGGGTAAAAGTCAGTTGTGTGGGCCAATTGGTCACGTACTACCAGATGCTACCTGCTACTTTTGGCAAGGCTTCAAGTCGCAGTCTTTAACATGCGTTAATGACTGTAAACAAGAAGGTTTTTGAGGCAGTCATCAATGCTTTTCCGTCTTGGCTTGGGAAGTTTTTGGTTTAAGCAGTTTTTTTTCCCTGCTTAAAAGAGCTGAAACAGCTTGTTAGCAGCTTGTTGATCTGCACCATGGAGCCTTGGCAAATCATGCCGAAGCAAACAAAACGATACCGATTAGTTTCTCATGGAGTTTTCTTTGCAGTTTGCTTTGGAGCTTCTCTAATGATAATGTCATTCAATCTGTTTGCCCAGGAACTCTCCCGCAGTCTCGTGAAGCTGGCCGGACTCGTAGCGATCAAGCCTTAGAGTCGTAGAGCAGACTTTGAGAGGGAGGCTGAGCAGACTTTGATTTTGTCATGCTGGGTTTTGCATTTTTTGGCCGAGGTTTTGCTTCGCCGGCCATGCTTTTGTGAATGGCAGGCGGTCATGTGCTGAATGCCTATTTTTGTTTCCTCGGGCATCCGTTGACTTTGAGATTGCAGTTCTGTTGGACTCTGTGCTTATGAATCCCTACTTATTCAGCCTTGCAGGTTCACTTCGATGGCCAAGCCAGCCAAGACTGGACACGATGTCGGCACTACCAATGTTCCCAAGCCTTCCGATGCACTTTTGCAGCACTTGGTTGCATCAATCCAGATTTCCCGTTCCATTTCGAGTCTTCAGCTTGTACTGAATAGTTGGCATTTCTGTGCCCTCCCAGTGGGATCAAAACGGTGCAAGCAAAAGAAATCAATGTGAGGCCGCCGAGTGGCTCTGGTCTACCACCGGGCACGCCTTGAGTGTGGGTGCAGCTCTTGGTATGGTCTTTGCATTGACCCAGGCTGGGCGGCTGCGTAACAAGAAGCAACGAGTAACAAGGGCATCGCTACTAGGAGCAAGGACCCTACTAGTAACAAGAAGCTGGTGTTTAGGGCTTCGACTGCGTGTGCCAATTCTATGACAGACGGGTTGACGAACGACGATGACAGGCCTCTGCCAGAGCGGAAGACACGCCACGAGCCAAGCTGGACGGTTCGGTGATGAATCGAAGAGACAAAAGATGAACGAAAGAGCCCCCACTAGCGTCCTTGCTGCTAGTAGCGATGCCAGGAGCCCCTAGTAGCGAACATTGCTCCTAGTAGTAAGGCCAGGACCTCCTAGTAGCTTCTTGCTCCGGTGAAACAATGTGTAACAATGTGCAACATGTTTCTTCTTGATGGGTACAGTATGGTACAGTATGGTACAGTACCCTTTAGATGCCTTTGGACACGCCTTTCACCTAAAAGCGGCCTCCAACCTACGACCGCGATGGCCGTCCTAGGCTATCCTGGGACTTGGAGTCACAGGTCACGGTGGCTCTCAAAGACAAGGGACAGGAAAAGGTCACGGTGGCTCCTCCCATTGGCATTGACAAGGAAGCCAAGAAGAAGCAGCTCGAGGCAATCTAGGGACTTTTTGGTGAAAAACTTGAAGGACTTGAAGGGACTTGGACCAAGGAATAGCAATCTTTGAGTTCAATAGTGTGCAACGATGCTTTGAGACAGTGCCTTTTTGCAGGGTGCCAGGATACTTGAGACGCTTTAGATTTTGCTGGACTGCGCTTGCTCCAGGCTGATCAGAAAGCACTCGACAAATTTACCAAGGGGGGAAAGGCCCGACAGAACTCACGTATTGCAGAATGCAAGTTTCAAGTTTCAAGTTCTCAGAAGGCATCGTTCTCATTGTTTTGAAGGTGCGAGATTCTGAGGACGTTCTTGGCGTTTCGTTGCTCATGAGTCATGAGCCTCTGAGCATGACAAGAACTTTGATATTCCGAGACAATTACACCAGGACAAGCTGGCAGAATACAAGAAAGACCTGGAGAATGATGTGTCTGGGCAACATCAGGTTTCCAAAAGGGTTCTTCCTTTCTGCATTTTAGATCCTTTAGACCTTTCTTTTCCTCTTTTCTTTTTGTCATTCGCTTGATTGGTGTTGCTCCAAGTTGGCTTCGACGGAGCGCTACATCCGAGCTGGCGCAGGGCCGCGCGAATGAATGTCTTAAGATACGACACTCATGTTATGTTAATAGCGATGGCCTCCAGAAGCGATGGCCTTCAATCATGTAATGTCATAGTCAATAAAAATGCAAACATTAGGAGCAAGGACGCTACTAGGGGCTCCTGGCATCGCTACTAGGAACAAGGGCCTTACTACTAGGAACAAGAAGCTATTAGACACAAGAAATAGACTTAAGATTAAGAAACAATTAAGCTACTAGGAACAAGTGCATCGCTACTAGTAACAAGTGCCTTACTACTAGTAACGTTTCTTCTTCCGCTTCAACAAGAACTGTACGTGTCAATTCGGGTCTGAGGGTGAGATCCGTGAAGCGAAAGTCTCTCCAGAAGGCGCCGAAAGTCCGCCGATCGGACGCTACGAACGGAGCAAAGGGCATCGCTACTAGGGGCCTCCTGGCCTTACTAGTAACAAGAAGCTATTAGAAACACGAATTAGAATTAGAAGTAGTCGTTATAGATAGAATGTAATTTTCTAAAATAGAATTGGAACAAAAAGCTATTCATGAATTCTGGAACTTGTCATGTTCATTTCTATTCGTTTCATTTGATGCCTCCAGGCTAATAGCGATGGTAGCGATGGCCTCCACCTAATAACAATGGCCTCCAGCCTACTAGCGATGGCATGTCCAATTTCTGTGATGCCTTGGACAGAAGTTGCTCTGAAGGAGAAGACTGACGCTCCGCTTTTCACGGGCTTGGATGGATTGCCTTCCATCAGCCTTCCAGAGATCTCGTTGCCGTCCATCAGCCTCCCAGCCTCGACCTTTGCATTAGCGAAAAAAGTGCGTTTTTCTAAAAGCACTACAGGACTCTAGAAAGAAAGAACGCTATCAGGTGGAGGCCATCGCAAGTAGGTTGGAGGCCATCGCCACAAGTAACAAGAAGCTACTAGGAGCAAAAAGGCACTACAGGACTCTAGAAGGAACATCTACGAACGACACAGAAAACCTACAGGCACTCAAGCGGAGAGTCTGTGGACTCTAGACTAGTAGTAATGCCCTTCTTACTAGTAGCTTCTTGCTCCTAGTAGCGATGCCAGGAGCCCCTAGTAGCTTCTTGTTTAGATCTTGCTCAGGGTGGTGGTTCTGTCACTCCTTCTTTTGCAGCTCCCGGTGAAGATGCAGCTGTCGGCATCCTCTCAGGAGTCGAATGTTGACGTCACACTGCAACGTAAACCTATTAGCTCAGGAACCTCTCTCCACCCTAGTAACGATGGCCTCCAACCTAGTAGCGATGGCCTCCAAGCTTTGACACCTTTGAATCCTTTGGACACAAAAAGCTCCTTCGGACTCTTCTCTGGTCAAAGACCCGGCTTCGAACTCCTTCATTTCATTTCGATATCTTAGGAGCTGCTGTATCCTTGGGCCTCCCAGCGGTTGTGGTTGCTGGTGTACGAAAGCTCAGATTTGTGATGGAGCCTTGTTAGGCTGTAAGCTTTGCAAGCCAAGAGGAGTGCTGTGTCAAGCTGTGCTATTTTCAAGGCACCAGGGCTGTCTAAAGAAGCAGCGAGAAGAAAGAAGCTAGTAGAAACAAGTGCCACGCTAGTAGTAACAAGAAGCTAGTAGGAACAAGTGCATCGCTTCTAGTAACAAGTGCCTTACTAGTAGTAACAAGAAGTTAGCACAAAGATGCCAAGGCTGTCAACAGGCGCATCCAAGAGAAGCAGCGAGAAGAAGTCGAGAGGCACCGCTCTGCCATGTTACTACTAGCTTCTTGTTACTACTAGTAAGGCACTTGTTACTAGTAGCGTGGCACTTGTTACTACAAGCTTCTTGTTACTACTGCCATGCTTTGCCTCTTCTCATCCGGTGTTTGCTTGTCGTTCCTTGTTTGAGCTGTCATCGACCAAGGAAGGCGAGAGAACGAGCAGATCCTACTGGAGCCATTTTGCCGCTCGTCTACAATGGCACAGCAAGATTCCTTGGCCGCTCCCATGCTACCAAAGAATGTGGAACTAGCCCTTGCTATTTAGATCTGATTAGCTTTAGTCGACTTGGGATGTCGGGGAGCTCCAAGATTCTCCACTGGTGTTTGATTGTAACAGCAGCAGACACAAGTGCCGGCATCTTGGCGACGCAAGGATTGCGAAAGCTGTGGTATGATTACCACAGCTTTCGCAACATACTCCGGCGCGAGCGAGCAGACATGAAGATTCGAAGCAAATAGTAAGAGATTCTTTCCCACGCTACTAACAAGAAGCTATTAGTAACAAGTGCATCGCTAGTAGTAACAAGTGCCTTACTAGTAGTAACAAGGGTCGCTACTAGGAACAATAGCAATTTCCCACGCTCTCCGCAGACGTTTCACCCGGAAACGTGCCAACTTGGGAGCCGAACCAAAGCTGCCCAAGCCGACCAGCGTCAACAAGTCCGTTGAAGATCTACTTGGAACGTGTGAAGATTCGAAGCAAATAATTAGTAGGAGCCCCTAGGAGCGTCCTTGCTCCTAGTAGCGCTAGTCATAGTAAGGCCAGGTAGCTGAAGGAGATTGAAGGAGTGTGTCTGACTGGAGGCAGACAGCTTGTTGGATCAATCAATGTCCAGCAATGGGTTGCTGACGTGCACAGTCCTGATCATCCGAGCATCTGTACCAACTAGCGGCGATGGCCTCCAACCTAGTAGCGTCCTTGCTCCTAGTAGCGATGCCAGGAGCCCCTAGTAGCTTCTTGTTACTACTAGTAAGGCACTTGTTACTAGAAGCGATGCACTTGTTCCTAGTAGCTTCTTGTTCCTAGCAAATAAAGTCACACCAGTAGCTTTGAAAGAGAGGCGTGGCCCGCGCAAGGTCGGACATGTCGGATTGTGCGAGTGCTTCAATCCTGCCTTGACCAGTAGCTTTTCATCCCGGCCTTACAATGTAACCAATGTAAAGGTTGAAGCAGGGCGGTCGGAGACCATGTCATGCCGCTCTCTGGAAGAAGCTGAAAAGGAACTTAAAAGGAACCACTGTAGCGCAAGCGTAGAAGAGGCGGCTCCCTCAACTTCGACGCGCAGGGTGGCAAGAGGAAAGCCCGTGGCTGTTTGATTTGCCCCTGACCACATCAGTAGTGCAACAGGAAAGAGCCCCTGGCGTGGGCGCTTGCTTGGCCCCAGGTCTGAAGCAGACAGCAATGCTCTTCCCTGGCAGGTTGGTCAGCGCAACCGCAGCAAGCCATAAAAAGTGTCTTGGCGAGCCCAAACCCATTGTTGTCTACAAATCCTGGACACTTTTGAGGCAAGAGTCAGGGTAAACCGTTTGGTCAAATCGTTCCTGCGCAATGAGTTTCCTTGCCTTTCGCTACTGAAGCTCCTGACAACCTGCGGGACGTCAGGTGAGCGTCACGAGTTGGACGCCCATGTTGCGCATCCTTTAGGCACTCTCATGCTGAGGATGCCCTAGAAGCGATGGCCTCCTTCAAGCGATGGCAGGCAGGCCAAATGTGAGCGCTCTGATGCTAGGCCCTGGCAAGGAATGCCCGCGCCAGATCAAAGTAAATAGCCGCCAGGCAAAGTAAGCAGCGTCCAGCATCGGCGTCAGTCATTTTTGGTCGGTAGAACCTACCCACAATACAAAGATTTGACTTGAACCAATGTCTTTCAGATGTCTGGAGCTTAGCAACAAGAAGCTAGTAGGAACAAGTGCATCGCTTCTAGTAACAAGTGCCTTACTAGTAGCAACAAGAAGCTAGTAGGAACAAGTGCATCGCTTCTAGTAACAAGTGCCTTACTAGTAGTAACAAGAAGCTAGTAGGAACAAGCGGCGTAAGGGTTTCAATGCAACTACCAGACCTCAGGTCTGGGATGTGCAACAGCACTTCAAAACGGCTCTCTTAAGTTTCACGGTATTAGGTCTTGGCCAAGGCTACTCCCCACCACTGGCCAGTATGCGCTGGTTTGCACGTATCCTGCACATGCAGACATGTTCCCCAAGTTTGTCAACCGATGGAACTCGCAACCATACTATATAACTTGCTTTGGTTGGCTGGCAGGACTACGGTCGCAGGTCTTGGGGCGGCTGTAGTTTTTGGCAACGCCCTTTTGGTCTGGACCTCAATGGCCTCCCTACTAGAGATGGCCTCAAACCTAAGAGCGATGCACTCGTCAGGCGGTTGTCGTAGCTGGTACAAGGGTCCAAGATTCACCTTGCGTGAACTTGAGGCAAGCATTCCTCAGGCACTGTGGAAAAAGAATGTAAATCAGCAACTTGCATTTGTTGCGCAGGTTTCATTTCAGCTGTGCTTGCTTTAACCACTGTGGAGGCTAAAGTGGTGGAGAAGGCACCTATCGTGACAACAGCAAAGCCAGCTGCCGATGATTCTGCTGCAAAGAAAGCTGCTGCTGACACCGCCGCCGCTGACAAGGCCGCTGCTGACAAGGCCGCTGCTGACAAGGCTGCTGCCGACAAGGCCGCTGCCGACAAGGCCGCTGCCGACAAGGCCGCCGCTGACAAGGAAGCTGCCGACAAGGCTACTGCCGACAAGGCCGCTGCCGACAAGGCCGCTGCCCACAAGGCAGCTGCCGACAAGGCCGCTGCCGACAAGGCCGCTGCTGACAAGGCCGCCGCTGACAAGGCAGCTGCCGACAAGGCCGCTGCCGACAAGGCAGCTGCCGACAAGGCAGCTGCTGACAAGGCAGCTGCTGACAAGGCTGCTGAGGCTGCTGCTGCTGCGAGGGCAGCTGCTGAGAAGGCAGCTGCTGACAGGGCCGCTGCTGCTGCAAAGGCGCGTGCTGAGACAAAAAGAACCTGCAAGAAATGCGGCATGCATTTGAAGGTAAGTGGTATGGAGGGGTGTTTTCTTCTTTTTTAAAATCCGGATTCTGCTTTTGCTACTTTTCTGCCTTTGCTGCTTTTTTGTTTTTCTGCTTTTTGTTTTGCTTTTGCTTGCTTTTGCTGCTGTTATGTTTTTCTTCTTTTTGATTTTTTGTTTTTATGCTCTTTGCTTTTGCTGTTTTTTTGCTTTTGTTGTTTTTTGTGTTTTTGTTTTTCTGCTCTTTGCTTTTGTTGCTTTTCTGCTTTGGCCAGCTACGACACCTGTGTCTCTGCTAAGGACACGAAATTGCCGTAATTCGCTAGGAATTGATAAGACAACTGCTCTATTCCACTGTTTTTTGTCCGCTACGGCAGCTGCTTGTCGTTTGAGGACGCTCAATTGTGGCAATCAGCAAGAAAATGCAAGCCGGATGATTGAAAAAAATAGCCGACATAATTTTACAGAGGTGCTTTCCGTCAGGGTTTGTTTAGACATGGAGTTTTTGATGGCATACACTAATTTAGACAAACAAGACGGCCTCAGGCAATGACGACGCCCGCCACGAAAGTCATGACAACGTTGGTGAACACCCATGCCTATCATCTACGCACACACACACTTCCCTGCTCTCCACTCGCATAGTGTGTTGACAACGTGTTTTTGGACAACTGCGGATCATCACCTTTCCGTCGCAAGCCGCACAAGGGACTAGATAGACACTTAGCGAGTTCTTGAAGTTGGAGCCTTTGCACACGCCCCTAGTAGCGTCATTGCTCCTAGTAGCGATGCCAGGAGCCCCTAGTAGCGTCCTTGCTCCTAGTAGTATGGCCAGGAGCCCGCCAAAAACATCTAATTTCTGGCAATGTTGGATCGTCGGTGGGTTTCGCGACAACTTTGACTTGTCTTCCCACTTCACGTTTTTTTTTCAGCTGAAATGGATGTCATTACCTTCCTTTGGACCATTCTTCCTTTTCTTTGTCTCTTCTTTTCTGTTTTGTCCTGGACATGGACGTAACTCCACCATCCTGAAATGAACACTTTTAGAAGTAACGCTTTCTGTTCAAGAGACAGGGTCTTTGAGTCTTTGACACAGGTGGAAGCGGCACCAGCTCCAGAGACCACACAGGGCAAGATCGCAGCTAAGGGTGGCTACTTTGCCTATATGAAGTCGAAGCAGTGAAGCGGGTGACGTGGTAGATTCTGGACATGAAGCATCGCGAAGCGTGTGATTTGTAAACAGGCCTTGGCACGGCACTTCGGCCTTGAACTATTTTTGACAAGTGCAGAACTATCGTGCAGAATGTGAGAATTGTTTGACTGTCACCGTCCTCGGGCCTCTTGCAAGTGCAAACTGGGCCGATTACTGTATGCTTGGCCCGGAAAATCTGCACTTAGTGGAGTGGTACATGGTGAGTGTCATAGCCATCGCGTGACTCCTACAGTGCTGCACTACTTGTTTTTGTAGTTTTGGTGCAAAGGGAACCTACTAGCGATGGCCTCGAACCCAATAGCGTACTTGTTTCTTTGAGAGAAAGACAAAACAAGTATAGTTAGCTTTGTTGGTTTGGCTGCTTCGCCCTTTTTGCTTCTAGGTTCTCACGTAGGACGGTGTCACTAGCCAATGCCCTTCCCATCGGCCATGAATCGCCGCCCAGTGCCTTTGACTGCAATTCGGACGCTTGGATGTCCAACTCGGTTAGCTTTCTGAATGCGCGAATGTTAGTCGCTCTCTAGGAACAAGAAGCTACTAGGGGCTCCTGGCCTTACTACTAGGAGCAAGGACGCTACTAGGGTTTGTCTTTGTGGCATGCAGGTTCTTCCTGCATGCTTGGCCATCGGTGCGGCTTTGGTTGGCCTCAATGGACTTCTCCAAGCCTTTGTCGCTCCAGGCTGGCTGTGAAAGCCTCTGGCTGGTTGTCACAAGAAGTGTTCCTAGTAGCTTCTTGTTCCTAGTGTTTCTGTTTCACGTGTTTCTAAATGCCCTTCTTGCGCATTGACTCTTGTGCATTTCACTCGCTCGTTTGAAACGTTCTTCGCAGTGAGATGAGAGATGTGATCGGCGGTCAAGTAAGACATCGAGCATAACATGAGAATGCACAACTTCGCATGGGCATAATGAACTCAACTAGGAGCAAGGACGCTACTAGGGGCTCCTGGCCGTACTACTAGGAACAAGAAGCTACTAGGAACAAAGGGCATCGCTACGAACGGAGCGATCGGACGCTACTGGGGGCAAAGGGCATTACATTCACTGCCTCTCCAACTAAAGCGTCTTGCAGGTGGTCGTGTCACAATGGGTGTCCACGACTCGGGGGCTTTGATAGGTTTTTTCCTTCTTGTTTACTTTATTTTGGAACGGAACTGAAAAGAAAGGAACAAACAACGATCCAAAGGATTCTAAAGGTAAAGTGTTCCTGAAACTTCTCGGAACCACATCATGCCCTCGCATTTTTTGATTACTTATTTTACATCGTGATATACAACAAAGAAGAAGTTGCTTGGTTCTTCTTCCGACTTGCAAGAAATGCTTTCAGAGATGCCTTCCAAGTCAGCAAGGCCACTTCGGCCACTGCCGCTAATTGGATGCAGCAGAATCAACGAGCACCAAACATGATGGGCATCACCTGTGGCATGGCCGGGTGCTGCAGCTTACCGACTTTGAGACAGCTTCAACTGCAATGATAGAAGAGATTCCTCATCTGATGGCGATGGCCTCCAACCTCCAACCTAATGGCGATGGCCTCCAACCTACTAAGTATCAGTAACAAGAATGCTAGTTTTACTGGAACTGATCCAAGAAGAATGCATCATGAGAATAAGAATGCTACGCGGCCAACACAAGAATCGCTATTAGGGGGAGGTCGGCCGTTTAAACTAGTGTAAAACGAACGCTGTTTGCATGCTATTTGCTACTAATAGCGATGCCCTTGTCACTATTAGCTTCTTGTTCCTAGTAGTAAGGCCAGGAGCCCCTAGTAGCGTCCTTGCTCCTAGTAGCGATGCCAGGAGCCCCTAGTAGCTTCTTGTTCCTAGTAGCGATGCCAGGAGCCCCTAGTAGCTTCTTGTTCCTAATTTGTGTTTATCGCGTGACGCTTTGTCTTTCGGCTCTGAGGCCACCAGCGTGGCGTTGGTGGCCTTGGCTGCTCGGAGCCCTCGAGCAGCTCGGAACGTGGAAGAATGACTGCTTTAAGCCCATTTCTATTCAGAGCACACAGAAATCATTCTTGCTTTTTTTTGTAGGAAGGGGTAGTCCTCCAAGACCGTACACCTGTGAGGATGAAGAATTTAGATTTGAAAGAGCTTCATAGAACTTCAACTAAACCTTTCGCTCTAAAACATGTCACTGAAGACGTTTCTGGTCTGAGCCTTTTGATTGAGCCTTTGAGCCCAGCAAATTAGCTACTAATAGCGATGCCCTTGTTGCTAGTGGCTTCTTGTTACCAATATAATATAGCAACAGCGTGCAACCTAATAGCGATGGCCTCCACCCTAGTAGTGATTCCCTCGTTACTAGTAGCTTCTTGTTACTAATCGCGATGGCCTCCAACCTAATAGCGATGGCCTCCACCCTAGTAGCGATGGCCTCCAAGCTAGTAGCTTCTTGTTACTAATAGCGATGCACTTGCTCCTAGTAGGGATGCCCTTTGTTACTAATAGCTTCTTGTTACCACTAGTAAGGCACTTGTTACTACTAGCGATGCACTTGCTACTAGTAGCGATGCCCTTTGTTACTAGCTCCTAATGCTATACTTCTCGGAACTGTAAGGTGGGCATGAGGGCAAATCCTGGATCTCCCAGCTTGATCCAGGTGTGGACGGCAATGCTTGCAAGTAAGTAACGAATCGGTGGCCTGTGAACATTTGCTGTTTCCTAAGGGGTAACAAAGTCCGATAAGACTTGTTTGTCAAAAGAATGCAGCAACAACAGTTTTTTTGTTTCTCAATTTCTTTGAGAAAGACTAAGGGGTAGCGATGTCCGATAATCAGACTCAAGGTAGGCGTACAGAATCGCCAGTAGGTTGGAGGCCATCGCTCTTAGGGTGGAGGCCATCTCTAGTAGGTTTCTTTTGCTATTAGGAGCAAGGACGCTACTAGGGGCTCCTGGCATTGCTACTAGGAACAAGAAGCTACTAGGGGCTCCTGGCCTTACTACTAGGAGCAAGGACGCTACTAGGGTGGAGGCCATCGCTAGTAGGTAGAAACCAGTCTCTTCACTGCATGATTTGTGTATTCGAGGTCTTGGAGCAGAAGAAGCTGTTGTCAACGGTCGAGAGAGCCCCTGGCGGATTAAATGCCCTGTGTGTACGTGAGTGAGTCCTTAACATTGCCTGTTGCCACAAGCAAGCTCCCTGTTCATGGGTCAGATCTTCGCTTGCTCTCTGCTGCGGAGAGATCTGGCATCAAGGTGAACACGGTGGAGGACAGAAAGCCCGGATTTTGTTTCTGTCCAGTCTTCTTGAAAGCCATCTTCCCTAAACATCTAGGAACCACATGAATAGGGGGGAGCTTCTTTGGAGAAGCGTAATTAAGCTTTCCCGCCAGTAACCAGTAGCTTCTGAAGCTTAGTAGTTACCTACCTCTTACTTGGCTATATTTATAAGCGACCATAAGCTACCTAGCGGCCTACACACCCTCTTACTCCTTTAAAAAAAAACTTTGAGGAGCTCGGACTCCTGAAGTTGGCTGAGAGTCTCAACCTCCTGAGTTTGGCAGAGAACGTCTTGGCCTCAGTATGGGAGCTCTGCCCGTGGCAAACCAAACTAGAATCCATTTGACAGGTGTTGACCAATGGCACAACACCATTCCTTATGTTGGCAGGCTGGAAGGATTCTGCTTGCATCTACTTGCCATATCAAATATCATCGTCAATCGCCCGTCTAGGCTCAGGTGTCTTGGGATTTGCAGCCTTGGTTGCTGCAAGCCTTTCCGATGGCAGCTTCTTGCAGTACTTTATTGCAGGCTGATCGGATGAGTGTTTTGCGCCAGATTCTGTGCAGACACTTGCCGTCAGGGAAGTCTTATTGCAAAGGATTTCTTTTCTTGCAGTCCTTTTCTTGCAGAAAGGTGCTTTGGGAGCTCCCGCGCTGGTTTTGGCTGTGGCAGCCCTCGTGATTCTTGTTGTCTTTGGTGGTGCACGCAGGAACGCAACGGATTCTAGTGTGTTTCAATTATTCAGTAATCATGTAGGGGCATTCGCTTGGAATGCATTACTTGGCTTTCACCCTTGCATTGGCTTGTACACCCCATGAAGATGTCATTGCAGACATTGCAAGTGCCGTGATAGTTTCACTATGTTTCACTGTTAGGACTCGAGACATTGACATCCAAGAGAAGGCAACCTGGCAATTCAACGTTTGACAAATCCGTGGCTTTGTGGTCACTCTAGGTTGTTTCCTACGGATCAAATGGCTTTAACTACCAGAGTGGAACGAGATCGGCATCTTTGCTCGAGGTGCCGGGTTTTCTTTTTCAGAAGCCATTGCTTCTAGCTTGGAAGCCGCTAGTAACAAGGGCATCGCTACTAGGGGCTCCTGGCATCGCTACTAGGAGGAAGGTTGCTACTAGGGGCTCCTGGCCGTACTACTAGGGGCAAAGGGCATCGCTACTAGGAACAAGGACGCTACTAGGTTGGAGGCCATAGCTATTAGGTTCGAGGTCATCTGAGCTCTGAAACTCGGAGACATTGACAGACCGTCGAGCAAAAGCGCTTGCTGTCCTTCCTGGAAGAGAACCGTCTTCTTAGCATGGGATCCCAGAGCACATCATGCATGGAACTGTGCCATGGTTTTCCGCGTCGTCCACTGAAACGCGGATGTTCAGGGATCCGGCGCAAAAACCACTGAAAATGCGAAAACCTACAGTGACAGTGAGACAAACGAGCTGACCCCGCAACACATAAAAAGAAGTATGCAATCACAAAGCACGCCCCCGTGAATCCAGTGTGATGAAACATAGAAATCCTCTACCGCTAGAACCAAGGGCTGTGCTTCTCATCTTCTAGTGAAGAGTTATCGGACAATGCCTGGGCTGGGTGGTCAAAGTTCAACAAAGCTTTCCCGAATGTACAGTGACGCATATATTAGTAAGCGTCCCTGCTCCTAGTAGCGATGCCCTTGTTCCTAGTAGCTTCTTGTTACTAGTAGTATGGCCAGGAGCCCCTAGTAGCGTCCCTGCTCCTACTCATTTTTTCTGAATGCACCGGACTAGAGCACTTTGAACAATGAGAGGTGGCCATTCTTAGAGCAAGTACTTAGAAGCAGTTTAAAGCCTTTAGACAGTAGACAGGTTCACAAGTTCACAAGTACATGTCCGCCTCTTCAATACAAACCCATATGTGATCAACATATCAAGTACCCTACAACTTGTGAACAAAAGACTTGCGTTGGATCTGCCCGGGAAAAAGTTAAAGAGTCCAATCTCCTTTGATTCTAAGTGCTCCCGAGTATCATGATTCTAAGAAGGCCTTTGGTTCTATGTGTAAGAACCATGTCTCTGTGAAACAGTTCTATTTTTGGTGCTAAGTATAAGTGAAGC